CTACTCTTTGTATGGTAGTACTTCTTAGGAGTTTTGATTTCCATTTCCCTAATGCCATTGATGTTAATTATCTTTTATTGTTTTTATTAGCCCTTGTACTTAATAACAGAATCAAAATTACCCATGTTTTTACAGTGAGAATTATCATTTGTCTTGAATAAAATAAATGTGTATTTATTTATTTTTTTATTTATTTATTTTTAGTTTTAATCTTTTTGAGGGGTACCAGGAATCAAACTCTAGACCTAGCACTTGCCAGGCAGTTGCTGTACTGCTGAGCTATATACCCAGCCCAAGGGGTATACATTTGAAGGCAAAATAATGGACTTGCATGAAATTTTAATATTTCACCTTTGAGGTTATTGTTATTAGTTGTACTAGTGAGTAAAATACAGTGATGTGTCTTATTCTGTTATTGCATTTGCTCTCAAAAAAACAAATTTACAAATAAAGTTGAAGTAGTGAACTTAGTTAAAGCATGGGTTTCTCTAGTTACTTTTCAAAGATATTATTCTCTTTACTGTGTTTCGTATGGATAAGTTACACAAATATTGAGTATGACTGTGTTATATATTTATAATAATGATTTAAGTAGGCAAATGGTTATAAATCTGTTATTTATTGTTGTCTCTCATTTACTGAAGTTTAAAGTTATATACTGTTAAAGCATGAGTCTAGTTTACTCATACTTTTACAGTAACATTTCATTCCAAATATAAATTATAGATATAATACAACCTATATACAGAAACCCAATGACTTTGCTTAGTTTTGGAATGAATTTTAATGTTTTAAAGTTATCAAATGCTAGACACTAGGCTATGTCTGTTTTAGGAAAGTTATCTTTTAACATCCATAATGACCATCAATTTACAAATTATTTACAGCCTGGTTTTACAGACAATGTTTGAATTCCAAGAATACATTATTAATAACTGTGAATTAAGTTGGAAAGTCACCAGTTCATATTCTGGTCACCCATGAGAACTGAGAGAATCCTGATAGGAGGGCCATCTTGAAACAAGAAAAGACAGATCTTACCTGGCTGATACAACAACAGCGTCAAGTCTGTCTGCTGTCCACCTTGACCCTTGGTCAAAACGAAGGGAAGCTAAAAGAAAAAACAAAACAAAACCAAAAAACCAAGATTCTAGTGAGAATAGACAAAAGAAGGAAGGTCTGTTCCCTAATGAAAAATCATACTTGTTTTATACTCTGGGATACTAAAATAATAGAGAGACAAAATTAATACTGTACTTATCTGTAAGTAACCACAACTTGGAACTTGGACTTCTCATAGAATCTTCGAATTGCTCTTCATTTCTTACACCTTTTACTCTGCACATTTTTCATTGGCGCATCTTAGTCAAAATAGACAGGTCACGTTTTTTACCATAAAATGTAAATGAGGATATATAAACAGACTTGTGGAAACACAAGGCCCACTAATCTCTGTACGAGACATGAAATAACCCTGAGTGTAAGTGGACTAGTAGGAGCCTTAAATAGCTAGGATTCTCTCATTCACTATTTGTACCCACGCTACTCTCCTTAAAGCGTACTTGGTAAAGCCTGTCACTTTTGTGTTTTTCTCATCTGGAAGCAAGATTCGGTGCTCTCCTTATCATTTTTATGCCTCTGTCCACATCCAATTGCTCTATCAATAATGTAAATGTTCTTTGTGCTCATTGCCCCTGAGATGTGTGCTTATCTTTCTTCTAATTCCTTTCTCTTTATCATCTCTGATTTCTTCAGTCTACCAATGTGCTCGTACATCTTCCACATCAAAAAATCAAATAAAATGTTTTCCTTGACTCCCCTATAATATATCATTCTCTCACTTATTCCTTTTATAAGTATATTCCTCTAAGTTCAGAAATCACTCATCCCATTGCATATTTCTTACTATTTTCTTGCTGAGACTTTTTCTTTTTGGCCTTTTAACTCAAAGTTTCTGTATTGTTTTGATTTTGTCTTCACTGTTGTTTTGTTAGTTTTTTAAATTTTTAAAATAATAATAATTTTTAAAAAAACAAGACGAATTCTCTCCCCAACAACCCCAGAGTAAAAGACAAAGACAAGGAAGTAAACTGCTCTAAAATGATGTGAACGGTGTGGCGTATGTCTTTACCAGGTACTTTGTGAACACACAGCAGGTAATTGCTAAAGCTACCTGCATGCAGCAAATGAAAGGCGGTTTACAAATAGGAAACACAATTTAACTAAAGAAGAAAAAGGGAAAACCCTTCCAGGCAGAGATACTAATGTGGTTCCTGTGGATGTAGGGAGGATGGCTATACCACTGGATGGAAGAAGGCACACACACTTGAGATTAAAGAATGGATGGGGGAAAGGGTTGCCTCCCTTGTCCTGTCCTGTTTTAGAACAAGACAAAGTTGCAAGCACTCTACGGGAATTACTCACTACCTAAGAGGCTTTTTCCCATCCTCTGGTGTCTAAGCACATGAATCTTCACTGACCTTAAATTCAGCAGCACTACCCCTTCTCTTTGCCAACATTACACTGTCTTCCTCTTTCTTGTCTCCTTCAAAACACCTCATGATTGGAAACTTTTAATTCATTGGATTCTAAGTTATAATTTTTTCTTCCATCTTAAATATTAGTTAGGGCAGGTTCCTTGTTTGT